ATTAGGCCTATTATATTTTTCTAATGTCGTATTTAAAAATATAATAGGCCTAATAAAATACTACATTGTTAATCTTGTTTGTTGTATCCCAGCCGGCCTGAGGAGATCAGAATTGAGAGAAACGCATCGTCGGCAATGGAGATGACGAATATATCGTAGTGTAGTTGGAATACTATTATTATACATTCTTCTGATTCTTGAAAATCCCTAATGGACTAGATAAAGAATGTGGTGGTTAAAAATGTAATAGGCCTAATACTAATGTCTTATGACAAGTATAATTTATCATAAACGGCAATTATTCACTTAAAAGTCCAGATAGGCATTCTTGACCAGGCATTGCCATAAATCTGATGATTAATCACTGTACTTCTACATAAAGCAAAAAAAAAAATAAATAAAACAAATGCATTTGAAAAAACGAAAAACTGAAGGAACGTTCTTTGGCACTTCGCAGCTTTTATGTTTCTTCTCTTAGTTAGACATGACAAATGAACAAATATAACCCTCGGCAATAACAGACTGTTCTTACTAGAGTTCCTGTGGTCTGTCGACAAGAAATGATTTTTAGTTATCTCAGTTTCTGTATCTCGACGATCGACAAAGCTGGCATAGTTAAACAAACACTCGCTGCAGGGAGCCACATGCCAAGTAAAAAAAGGCAAGCAACCACCTTGCCTTACAAATAGGCATTGGGTTCCCTGGTGTGGCCACCTGAGTCGCAAAGTCAAAGGTTAAAATTTAGTACTTTGATGTATAAGAGGGGAGAGGGGATCTCCTTTTTTTTCGCTCTCTTATTTCTTTACCTCAAACAAGAACCTGCACGAAGTCACAAACATCACATTGAAATTATATTGTATTGGTTTCCTGGTAACAGAGATTTATAAGTCACTACGATTTCTTAACTTCATAACTTAGTTTGTTCTACTTCAATATCATCCAAAAAGTATCAAATATTTCTTTGGTTCGTGTACCACAAAGACAGAACTATCAAACTTTTACTTTTTTTTTTTCTATTTTAGAAACACACAAACTATCAAACCTTTTCCTTTGTTTGTTCTACTTCATAACATATAAAAGTATCAAACATTTCCATGGTTTTGGTATTTTTGAAACATATAAAAGTATCAAACCTTTTCCTTTGTTCATTCTACTTCATAACATATAAAAGTATCAAACATTTCCATGGTTTTGGTAGTTTTGAAACATATAAAAGTATCAAACCTTTTCCTTTGTTCGTTCTACTTCATAACATATACAAGTATCAAACATTTCCATGGTTTTGGTAGTTTTGAAACATATAAAAGTATCAAACCTTTTCCTTTG